GTTCTTTTTTTAAGGAATTGTTTTGTCCTCTTTGTACAATATGTCAACATGGTTATCGCCGCTCTGCACCTACGCCCCTTTGCCTTGTATTCAATGAGTAAAAGTGCTCTGCCTAGGTTTGGGGCCCACCCTGTTTCTTTATAACAAGTTTTGTCTCAAGTATCATTAACCCTCGGCGCGCATGCGCAGCGAGGGTGACAGCAGTTACCCTCGGCGCGCATGTGCAGCGAGGGTACTGTAGTTGGGTGTGTGTGTGTGTGTGTGTATCTGTTACTCTACATCTCACTTTTCGAATGTTTGTTCGTCTCACAAACGATATGACCTACTGAACGGGCAATGAAGGTCAGACGTTTTGTGGGGTTTTCTCTGAAAATGCTGCGTTGCAAAGCTAGAGCGCTTCCAGCATTGTATGGCTAATGCCGGTAGTCGCCATTTTATCGCTAGCGGATAATGCGTATGCGCTTATATTTAGCACCGACCGGGTCCGCTTGCTTGCTATCTTACTGTAGCTAGCCCGTGTCAGACACTCTGCGAGCTACTTCGCCGAGGGTTTGCACTTTAGTGCTTTCATTGGGTCTGTCTGTCTGTTACTCTTCATCTCACTTCTCGAGTGTTCCTTCCTCTCACAAAGGATACCACCTACTGAACGGGCAATGAAGGTCAGAAGTTTCGAACGGTTTTCTCTGAAAACGCTCCGTTGCAAAGCTAGAGCGCTTCCACCATTGTACGGCTGATGCGTAGTCGGCCATTTTTATCGCTGCGGAAAACGCGCATGCGCTTATATTTAGCACAGGACCTGGTCTGCTTGCTCTGTGTATTTTGACACAAGAAGTCACAACGAAGGGCGTGTATCGACTCTCGCATGCTATCTACTACTGTAGCTAGCCCGTGTCAGACTCTCTGCGAGCTATATACTAGCAGGAGACCGAGAGTATAATCGCATACTAATATACCGCGCGTGCGCAGTTCGCCGAGGGTTTGCACTTCAGTGCTAAATTATTAACACTTGCCTTATATTTACACCCCCTGATCTATGCACTTTGTGTACTTACCCATTGGATTGAAAAGCATTTTGTCATCATTTTATGAATGTGAGAGGCATTAAGGTTTTGTGCCAAATGAAAGTAAAACTGTGGGAAAACAGGTTGTAGCTTACTGAGTCGTAACTAAATATAGGTTATACTGCTCGTCAAGGGATTTAGACGGCACGAGGGGCCCTGAGCTGTAGCTGTTTGAGCGCAGCAAAACGCTACTAAGGGCTCCGAGGCCGTCTAAATCGCGTATTTCCATTGACAAGCAGTATAACCTGTTTAGACGGAGGCCGTGCTGGCCGTCAAAATCGTCCAGGTCCGTCGTCTTCCACGAGACTCGCTCTCGCTGGGGGAAGCTAAAAAGGTCTTCATTTTAGTTTCTTTTTGCATCGTAGAGAGGCCTTTCATAGAAAAAGCACGAGTTTGAAGTCGTCGTGGCGAGCTCTCAGCGACAGAGCAAGTTTCTTTGCGCAGAAGCTTGTCACACCCCCATCGAAGATGCCATTTATTGGCGGGTGTCTCCGTGGAAACACGCACTTGGAAAATACGGGATTTAGAATTCACGTTTTACGCAATCTGATTGGTCAATTTGAATCTGCCGACGTCTAAATACTCACAGTACTCGTGATTATCTGACACCACACTGCAACTAAAAGTTTGTAGTTTATTATGTTCCACCAAATACAGAGTATTTTCTATATCCTATGGATAGTTACACAAAACCCTAAACACTAAAGTGCAAATGAGTACTGTATAGGAATTGAATTGCTTTGTTAACTTGGTTTTTGGGCTCTAACTTTTGAATGCAGCGTTTTACGGATTCGCAAAATCAAGCCAGTGCATCGCTCACCCATTGGTGCCGCTATTTGGTCGGCTTGTTGCGTGGTGGCAGAAAACGTGGTAACAGACAGACAGACACACACTCTTAAAAACTAAATACCGTAACTCTCGCTGAGGGTTTACGTTTGCTTTGCTAGCGAATACCATAAATTTGTACCACTTGAAAAGCTTGTCGTAAAAAGGTATACTTATTAGTGCAGTAATTTCTGCTTAAAAGGAAGATAAGGGCTAAATTTAGAACTGTAAAACTAAAAGTATGTAGTGTAAGAACGCAATTAAGTTTCTGTTTTTACTAATTTAGCCCTTATATGTACACTGTAACATTCTCCTTGAGGTTCTGGTAACACCAATACTATAGAGCATGCTAAGCCCTGGTACCATAACATGGGTTGTTTGCAGAGTTGAGACAAACTGTATATCAGAGGACCACACTGTACACAGCCACAGGTGTTTTTCTCGGGGGTTTTACGTTAAGAGTTTGCAAACAAATCCTGACGGACAGCACGGCCTCCGTCTAAACAGGTTATACTGCTTGTCAATGGAAATACGCGATTTAGACGGCCTCGGAGCCCTTAGTAGTGTTTTGCTGCGCTCAAAGAGCTACAGCTCAGGGCCCCTCGTGCCGTCTAAATCGAGTATTTCCATTGACGAGCAGTATAACCTATATTATTTAGACGGCCTCGGAGCCCTTAGTAGCGTCTTCTCTACGCTCAGACCGGCTACAGCTCAAGGCCCCTCATGCCGTCTAAATCGCGTATTTCCATTGACGCGCAGTATAACCTATATATAGAGTTTACTATCCATTGCTAAAGACAGTCCTCTTCATCCTGAAAGGTGTGCTTAATTATGAGCCATTTGTGTGTACCAATCCCTTCCAAAGCACGTGGATAGTCTGGATAGCTACTTCTATGTAGGTAGCAACAACATTCTACCACGCTCAACAAACTCACACACACACACACACACACTGCAGTGTTCAGTGGAGATGCAGCAGATCCTGCGACTGGCCCTCCGTGATGGAGACGAGTGGGTGAGACTATTTGCCACCATTCTGGCTCCCGTTCCCCCATTCCCAGTCCATCGATGTGGAGCCATGTACTGAGGGAAACATGGAGGGGGTCCAAGCTGAAGTTGCTGAAGCATGTATGAAAGGGAGAAATATTTGTATATAGTAGCTATTCAGAAGAATTTTGCATAAAGGCAATGTTTCATAAATGGAAGTACGTAGGCCTGCGCATGTAGTGCACTAAACTAAAGTACGTAAAAAGAATTCACAAAGGTTTTTATCTCGACATAGTTATACATAGTAGTAAGGTGTGAACCAAAATTTTTGCTGCCCATACTTTAGTGTCCCTGAAGAGTGACTGCTCTTTCATTCCCCACGAGTTTGCCTGTCTCAACCACTCGGTGCTCTCTGCCGCTCACAAGTATACTCCGCCCACTGGACACACCCACTTTACTCTGAGACAGCAACCCCAGGCATCAGTCCAGCTCAGGAATGAGATCCTTCAGAAAGGTTGGTGGACCTTTTATCATGTGTTACACACTTGAGAGCTACTGGATGTAAATGTAAATGAATTCTCCTAGCATTATAATCTCCCCCAAAACCTTTGCATTGGTATGAATTAAAGATTTCATGATGGGTATATACGTACGTACAGCTACGTATTCCGTTGTTTCTTTTCTTCCCTCCCCAGCTGAGATGGATTTTGCCCAGACAGGGTCCCTAGTCAAAGATAGACATCTCCTCCAGCGACAAATGTCCGCTACTGGTGTGTTTACTACTTCTCATTACCACATATCCACCACATACTAACTTTCCCCTTATAAACAGTTATCCATGCCTTTTTTACTAATTGTATTTTCCGCTTTGGTACAGGTTCAAACCCGTTTGTGTCCACGTCTCGTTCCAGTAGCAGCAGGAAGTCGGTCCCCATTCCAGGCCACACGGCCTCTCGTGTTCAGAGAGAGAGAGGCACAAAGGTAGACATGACTCCTGCTGTGGATTTAGCATTCAGAGTTTTAGTTTCATGGTTGTGTCCCCTTTTCTCTCTCAGCTTCTTTACATTAATGAGGTACCACTCAATTTCAAAAGAAAGAGACGAGCAGCAGCTGGTATGTTATATTTAACCCTATCGGCACGTAATGTGGTGCTCGTTTTTTGGTACAGAAGCTCGCACTTTGCGTTAGCTGCAGCAACATACTGCATGGCCTAGATGCTAAGAGCTACGCGAGTGGTACATTGACGTTATTCAGCTACATTATAAACACGTGCATGACCATATAGTACTAATTGCCACAAGTCTATCGTTCTAGGGGTGATGCTTTAGATCACTATGCTTTCTCTAGCTTAGAAATTGGCTAAGTTCCGAGCGTGATTAAGTCTCGTGCACACACACCAAACTTGGAGCTACCAGGTGGTGGTGGGGAATCAAAGAAGACCAGGACTTCCTCCAAGAGCGAACCAGACACACCCACACCCACGTTGCAGTCTGCAACACCAGACTATGCGGCGGGGCTGGGGGTGGAGTTTCCACCGCCCACACCCACCTCGTCTCGGGCGGTGGCAGGGGGCGGAAACGTCACTGGAGGGGCGGCATCGACCTCGAGTAAAAAGGGAGCACTGGAACTGGCTTTGCAGAGTCCCACCACGTCTCTGGCCAGTGACTCTCAGAAACCTCAGGTTTGTTCTAGTATCTCGAATGTTGAAAGTTTACTTTTGAAGTAAGTGAAAAGAACTTTGCCAGTTTTCTAGTTTCACACTGCCATTGACTGTGTAGGCTCTCATAACAATGATATATAGTCATCCACCATAGTGTTAATCTTTATGCATAATTGAGGGCACGTGTCAGTGCATATACAAGGGCACTTTTGAGAGGTATCCCACGGAACCCTGGGTTAGTGCTAGCGTTAGCCTCAGGGATAGCTTACTATCCCTCCGAATCCTGGGTAAGTGAGCGTTAGCATCAGGGATTGCTTACTATCTCTCCCTACCCAGTGCAGGAATGAAATTACGTAAGTTACTGTTTTTGGTAACAGTTTCTAAATGTAGCCCTTGTTCGGAGAATGACGAGACCTATTCTTCCTACAGAGCTCAACTACACCTGTTACACCGTTCTACTCTCTGACCTCGCCCACATACCAGCCGTATCCCAGGGCAACGGCCACTCCCAGTGGCCCCATCCCGCCCCACATCAGTCCCTTCACTCCCGGCACTCCCTCCACCCCCACCCTCCCAACCTCCCCCAGCACACCTCAGCCCAAGCTGAAAGTCACTGTGAGTTGTGAATTCATTGTAATGGCATGTGTACCATGCACCACCTCACCCTTGGTTTGGTCATCTACGAGAGACATGCTTCCTGGCAGCACCTATTCCAGTCATGCATACATCTTAGGCAGCTGGATAGGAAGTATTCGTGTGGTTATATGTGACTGTGTATGCCGAAACTAGGCATTTGCTTTTTGACTCTATCGTAAAATGTTAATCAATATCTGATTATGCACTTTGCTCTTTATCTGAATGAAACGTCTGAAAACATGGAAGGCGCAAAGCGACAACACCCATGTGGACCTGTTCTGTCAGTATGGGGCACTAACCCTTTGGACACCATGGGTGTCTGCTTAAATAGGCAGAAATTAATACATGAATTATTAGCGTCTAAACTTATGGGCTTATGGAGATCATGGACGCATTTGTGTCCGTGGCTGGTTAAGTGTTAACATTTTACATGTACTAGACCAGCAACAAACCAAACGTTTAAAGTTGCCTGTGTATTTGCGGCCCATAGATGTACATGTATGTTCAATTCAAAACGACAAATGCCTGGTTTTGGCACACGCGTAAGTAAACGCATACGTGGTAAGCTTATCACTAATTGATGGGCTGGGTTTAGTTTTAGGTCGTGGTCTCTTGCCAGCTCACAGTCTGACACGGGCTAACTACACTACTAGATAGCATGCGAGAGGCGATACACGCCCTGCGTTGCATCTTCTAGTGCCTCCGAGGTTTGCAGAGCACGCGGATCGATCAGACCGTGGTAAGCCATCCCGTCCGTTGTATTTGCATATTGGCTTTTTCGCGCTCTAGCTTTGCAACGGAGCATTTTCATAGAAAACGCACAAAATTTCTGACCTTCATTGCCCGTTAGGTAGGTGGTATCATTTGTGAGACGAAAAAACATTCGAGAAGTGAGATATTGAGTAACAGGCAGACACACACACAGACAGACAGACAGACAACCCAACTACCGTACCCTCACTGTGCATGCGCACCGAGGGTAATAAGGTCCATCTCTGAATGAATGCTCACTGAACTCTAGCTACACCACTCACCTGTATCTCTCCCAATGCACACAGCGTCAGCAGCTCCTGATAGCCCAGGAGATGTTCAAAGAGAGCCAAAATCTTACCAGAGAGCACAAAGCTCTCATCCTTGGTTTCATGGCCGGAGCCAGAGGTCAGTTCCTGTCATTAATAATATGATTACAATAGTCTACATTGTTAGAGCATCCCTTTAGATATTGAACCTCTGTCTAGATATTATTGCAATACTGCCTCCACTATGCAGCTCCATTACTGTATGTTACAGAGTATACAGGTCATACCTGTGATTCACACCTTGCCTCTCCGGAACACACACGCTCACAGATTTCTCACGCATTGATGTTCTTTACTAGCAAGTCTGTACTTATGCGTCGTGTTACTAGCCACCACCAACAACATGTGTACACCATGCATGACGGTGGGTAACACGGTAACACCCGTTCTTGCACGTAATTTTTCTTCAATGTACTCCAGAAAAAATGTCATCAAATACGCTAGAAAATATTGTTCTTCTGCAGAAAACCCATACCCCAACCGTGAGGTGGTGACAATTAAGCTAAACGACAGGGTGCAGGAGGAGAGTGAGGGGAAGAAGGTTCTCATTGAGACAGTCTTTTGAGATGAACTACAAGACTGGGATGTGGAGGAAACTCCAGTACAAGAGACCTCATCAGTGAAATAGTTTTACCACTGACAGTAAAGTATGACTAAGAGCACATTGGGTACTGAAGGTGTATGAATGCATGAATTTTATTACTCTTACTGTTGCACTGAAAAGTACTAAATAAAGTGCAAAATATTTTAAAACACACTTAACTCGTATGCACAAATGTTAGTAACGTGAACGTGAATACACAGCAGTGGCCATAATCTACCGCTTACTTACGTCTCTATTAACACTGCATATATTTACAGCGCCTGATCCATACCACATTGTACCGTAGTGACCCATGGATTAAAAAGCTTTTGTCTGATCACTTTAGAATGTGAGAAGCATAAGTGTTTGTGCTAAATGAAGTAAAAAACTAGGGATAAAAACAGTGACTCGTAACCATGAGTGGTGATAAGTTATTTTAGAAGCCGTTGTAGCTTACTGAGTCTATAACCAAATGCGGATGTGATGTGACTAACTGTTAAACGTAAAAAACAGAGAAAGAAATGCCTGTGATAGAGCCGTGTGCAGTGTGGTCCCAGCGGCCTCTATAGTATTGGTGTGTATACCAGAAAATAACCCCTCAAGGGGCATATATTACAGTGGCTTGTACTGTCCGATCATGCTGTTATAAGGGCGAGTGCTAGTAACCATGAACCTACATGTGTACTCATCTACTACTACGCCTGCGTCAGTTTTATGTTTAGTTACATGTTCTAATATAGTCGATACGAGCTCTGCTGATGAAACAACGCCCAGACACGGACGAGCTTGGATGACCGGACCATCCAGCCAGTATCACACTTCGCTAGTGCTTCCGCAGCAATGCTTACTGCGGTTTTCGTCTTACTTTCAGACTGTCATTTTGGTTAATATCTTTTTATTTTTACTGTGAAGTACTGTCATGGTTCTTCGTAGTGCACCCCTAGGCTCCTTCACGGGTACTTAACAGATGCACGATCACGTTCACACAGGACCATGTACTGGGGATATTTCATGAAACTGAACTGCTGGTTAGTGCCTATTTCATAAGAAGCTCCAACACAGTACCTTAGGAGAGGAAGAGGGGACAAGATGTCTTGTAGAAGGTCTTAGCTGTGGCTGAAGTTCGGTGGTTCGTGCGATGAGGGAGAGAGGAACAAGATAAAGTGTCTGACCAGATGTAGAGAGACCCAGTTGTGTGTCAGCTCCAACACAGACTAGCAGAGATGGGACACATTAGAGTCTTGTATAGAGCAGGACAGAGCACAAGCACGCCGGAATTGTCTACAAACAGCAGTTTCGACTGATTTCAGAAATTGAGTGTCTGAAACAAGAGGGTGATGCAATTGAGACTGGAGCACGTCGTGCAACACACCAAAACTCTGAATTCCCCATCTCATTACAAGATCGAAAATTCCGCCGGGGGAAACATTTTCCTTGCCACCATTGTCACACACCCAACGGTACAAGCTGTGTCTCAGAGTATTAATCCGAATGGCTTTGGACGTTGGAAGCGGAACGCATGTCTCGATCTCATGTACCCTTGTGGAAGGGGTCCTTTGACACAAACTGAAATGGCCATTTCGCGGAGAGCTGACTGTCGGGATATTAAACCAAGCTGGGGAATACATGATCACGGGAAGATACCACTGATAGAAAAACTGGAGAGAGATGTTTTGCAGTTCAAGTCGAAGGGAGAGAAAGGCAGAGGGAGGGTGGGGTCTTGAAAAGTATTTCTCCAACATAGTGCTTTGCAGTATAGACAGAGTGAAATAACATCAGTATTGAAGATGGCCACTTCTTACGTTAGGTCGGTTTGTGCTCAAAGATGTATGTGAACTTTTTATCATAAGTGTACGTATCTTTTGTGTCATTCATAACACACTGAAACAACACTTTTGGGGTAATTTTTGGTAGTGATTTTGTGTTGACTTTAGAAATATGTTGCAGGATTAGCAGAACATGTTCAGCGATCACGTTTTCGCCCTGAACAGCCATTTAACACGTGTTGAGAATATGACACGCTGCAAACTCTGACAAAGCTTTACAGTTCCATCAAGCAAGCGAACACAAACCAAGGGACCCCATAGATAACGTACTGTCCACGCGCTATAACAACTAGATATTTCTCATGGAGTTATGTGATAATGATACTCCACTACATATAAAAATTGAGATCAGGGTGTATCACGTACCTCCAAATGGGAACTACATGCAAGAGGACAGTAGATGAAGAGTGGGGATAAAAACCAACTGACGATTTGCAGACCCTGATAAATTTATAACCACCTCGATGCACATGCGACAGCGAGGGGCGTTGTTAGAGTGTTTAGGTATTATGATTAGATGTGTGTGTCCTGTCACATCTGTCTGTATGTATATACAAATTTTCTGCCACCATGCCACAGCAACGACCACGAAAATACGCGATACACCAAAAGTTTCATGGCGATATCGACTCCCACATGCTATCTTGTAGGTAACGAGTAACTAGCAGTGACAGACTCTCAGCGACGCTGCAAGAGAGCAAGTATAAGGATAATTCAGATATATTCAACTTACTATAACACACAACAATAAATTTACCGAGTATGGAACAAATAAATTAGACAGCTATAAAAGTATAGAGCAACCCGACAACAAACAGCGTATACCACGGGTTCAATACGCTACACTGGACTTCATTTTTAAAGGCGATTTTACACGTAACTACTGCCGTTCAAGTCATGAGCGTGAAAGCAAAGAGTGAACAAGCCAATATGCAAATATAAGCAAACCTCGATATGATATTCGCTGCGCTATGCGCGCCAAGGGTTATGACTAGGTATGCAGATAGTGGAGTGAGCAAAGTCAAGTAAATGGCCAGTCCATGTCAAAGTATGCACCTGGCAGAATTTAACTCACCTCACCCTGCGAGGTCTTTTAGCATCTCAACTGCCGCACCGTGTAGTCTCGCGGGGGCCACACGTTTCGCGGGTGCAGAGAAACCTCCCCCTTGCCCTTGGCCCCGCGACACTACGTCCCGCGCACCTCCTGCGCACGCCGGTGAAAAATCCGAGTAAATTAATACTCCGTCCGACACATACTTAGAGGACCGAAAATCCGAAGTAAATCCGAAACTTTGGCAGCACTGCTAATACACCACTGTTTTTGCCTACAGTCTCTCTGTACCTTCATCGTCCATGGCGACACGTTCCATGTGTAGCTACCAATTCCTGTTGTATCACGTGTACATGCAGAGTCAGAGAACAGTTGTAGTTGAAAACTGTACAAGTACATTTGCCTTTACATCAACACTGTGTTAGTGTTCAGCACAAACACTTCTATTTACTCATGCTTTAACCAGTACAAACTTTAGAACTGTTTTTGAATGTCACTTTTAAGTAAACCTTTCTCCCACCATTTCATTCAGGCACTCTTTGCTTTCAATGTGTACAATACCACTGCACGCACTAACAGTACTTTGTCTCTATGTTGGGAATCTCAGTCTCCAAAATTTCACTCCAACGCCTCCACCAAATACGGAATTGCCATTTTTTAAACTCCTTAAGTGCAGTACATTGGAGGTGAACGATTAGTGCTTGTCAACAGCAACGTCAGGTAGAGAGGCAAAGGCAAGCAAACAAGTGAAATCAACTCTTTTGTATGTATTGCTGTCAATGTTTACGCGTGTAAAAATATACTTGCCAAACTGGTCATGCAAATACAATGTTCCACATCTGATGCAACAAAGCCATTGTGTGAAACTTGGATGGATATGAAAATAACAAAGGTTACTACTTTTTACGGTTAGGACAACTAATTATTAAATTTAAATGAAATGGGGGATGTCTCGTATTCGTAACATTGCACACCAAATCACTTCAGTTCATCGCCCTGCCTTCGGAAGTAGTAAGATGAAGCAGCAGCCCCTCTCTTTCACTTTGGCTTCATTTTGAACCTGTAGCAGTGCGACGTAATGGTTTTCAGCACTCTCCAAACTACAACCTCCAGAGTACGACATGTGAGGTAACAGCAGAATTTAGTCAAGAATACATTGGCAGTATTCTCTGTCTCGGCGAATGAAACAGTTCCTACACCAACAAACT